AATGTAAATTACACAACAGTCAGTACTTTGTTTGCTCTGTTTGCTGCTATAACTTTAGCACCTAGAATTATGCCTGGCATGTAGAGGAATCTAGTGACTGTTGATTGAATTGATGCCTCTAAATGATGGAATCTGTGGAGCTTCTGATGGTGGTGGTAATGATGGTAGCTGAAATTTATTCATACTTTTCGAGGTGCCAGGCCATGTTCTGAGTCCTTTATTTCTTTTAGTTCTTTACAACAATATTATAAGATATAGGTATTATTACTTTCCCTACTTTACAGAGGCGCAGAAATCGTTTTTAAACTCACACAGTTGACTCCAGAGCCCAGTAGCTTAATTACTACTCTACTCTTATTCTCATCTTATATCTCTTCCTCTTTTCTCCTCTTCTTCCTAACTACTCAGGCCTGTTCTACTTTGCATCTAATCCTTTTTTCCCTCAATTCCCTTTGATAATCATTTAACATTTACCTTTGGAATTTTGCCCTTAATTTCTACTACATGTATTTTCAGTCCATGCATTGCTTCTCTCCAAGAAACAAACACAAATTAAACCACAAATTTGAAATCTGTCACAAAGATCCAGTCTAAATTGTAGAGGTTAATGTCTACATCTCTTGCTGCATAGCCCAGCTGCACATTCGGTGTGATGTTCCTTTCAGACATCTCTTCCCTACCCCTATATTTTTGGGTTATGCCCACCACTGGATGGAAAATCCTAGACTCTCAAATTAAACAACAAATACTTGAAATTATAATATGTCAACTTCTTGACATTTTTTACAAGTCATATTGTGACGTTTTACAAATCACATTATAGCCTGAACAGCAAGTAACTAAACTGTTTGCCTTAATTAAATATCTTGGTTCTCATTTTTATATTTTGTAGTATTGTACCATCTCTGTCCCTACTAGATAATATGCCACATTCAGAAAAACCTGCAGTAATAACCGATGTAGAACCCATGCAAATTAAAGTTACCAACTGAATCCCCAAACTGAAAAAAAAGGTTGCTTTCAAATTTAATTAATACAATCCAGTTAGTACTGCAATTTTCTTCTTTTTTTTTGCAAAAACAAATAAAGTAACAGGTTTTTTTTTTGCAAAGGAAATTGTATGTAGCTCTCACCTTTCAAACCATATTTGTACCCAGTTTTTGTTTTAATCTAATTTAACTGGATTCTTAGCACCCTTTTCTTCTTATATAGACTTTAAGGAACTGATTTAACTGTTTTTAAACAGACTCTAAGTCTCTGAAATGATTTCATTCAGAAAGGTCTCCACAGACACAGGGAAACCCAGATGTGAAGTTGATAATTTGAAATTAAATATAAGCAAATCAAATCTAATAACATTCCTTTTTGAGTAATCCCATAGTGTTCTCTTTGTCTTTGGCAATCTGAACATAAGTATGCTATATATTAAAAGGTAAAATTACTTATTTTCTCTTCATAAAAACATATGAAGAATGTGAAAAGGAAAGCCATAGTGTGGATGAAAATATTTCCATTACATTTATAGCAGAGCTCTTATATCCAGAATATATAAAGAATTTAGAAAAAAAATCACAAGAAAAAGATATCCCAACAGAGGAATATTCAAAATACTTGAACAGGTACTTCACAAGAACAGAGATCCAAACGGCCAGAAACCCACTCAAGTTTGTTCATAGTCAGGCAAATACAGACTAAAACAATGCAAGAGAGGCTAAAATTTAAAAGACTAACCAGCACCAAGTGTTGCTGAAGGAAGAACAACTGGAACTCTGATACATTGCAGGTGGAAGTGTGGTAAAATGACTTTGGAAACAAGTGTGGCAATATCTGCTAAAGTTGAGTGTAAACACAGCCTCTGACCAGTATTCCCACTCTTAGGTCCATCCAAGAAAAAACGTGTGCCCTTATGCAGCAGGAGTCCAGTACAGTGACACTCATAGCAACATAGTTTTCTAAGAGACTCAGACTGGGACCAAACAAACAGCTTCCACTAGTAGTGTAGTCATAAAATGGTGTATTAAACACTAATGAAAATATATCGAAGCTACATAAAACAGTGTGGATAATCTCACATACATCAAATTCCGTGAAAGAAACCAGACATAAAAGAATATATGTCACAGTAGCATTTCATACAATTTCCTAAATCAGGCAAAACTAAACTCTAGTGTTATATACGTAAGAGATAACAGCATTTCTTTTATAATAGCTAAAAAGTAGAAATAATCCAAATGTCTGTTAGTGGGGAGAATGGTTGAATAAATTGTTGTATGTTCATACAATGGAATACTAAATAAAGAAAATGAACAAATCTCAATATGCAGACGTAGATAAATTAGAAATACAACATTGAATGACAGAAGCAAGATATAAAAGAATACGTGGTTCCATTTATATAAATTTCAAACATAGGCAAAAATCTAAACCATAATGTTAAAGTCAGGATGTTAATATATTGGGGGCACAGGGAGTGGATGGTGACTGGATGATGGGCGTTAATTCCCTGAGCTATACATTCATGTTTTATGTACATTTCTCTTTGTATGTTTTATTTCACAATTTTAAAAGTTTAGCCAAGTAAGAGACAGCCTGGCCTGGGTTGATACCCCTTGGGTTCGTATCCAAGCTTTGCTGCTTTCCAGCTGTGTAACTCTGGGAAATTTATTTAACAGTTCTTGGCCTCAATTTCATATTTGTAATGTGAAGATAAAAATCAAACCTATTTTGTATGAATTGTTGTAAAGATTTGACAAATGCTGGAATTTTAGCTAAGCTATTAAGCACTTACAACAACAGCTGGCACGTAGTAGTAAGTGCTTACTGCTCACTCCTTCTGTTGTTACATTTGATATCATTGCCAGCTTATTTGTTCAAAGGAATTTTTAAGCTGTGATTGGAATTATATTCATAAACACATCATGGCTCTCCATATAGGCAAGTTTTTGTTATGATCTCTCGGAAAAGTTTATTTTATTCACTATCTGTGTTATTTCATTAATTATTCATTAGGTATTTTATAGAAGTATTTTACAATTTTCAGTAGAATTTTCTTTGCCTTGTGTTCTGTAGTTGCACATATAGTATATAGGTAGCATATAATTCATTTTACACAAGTAGAAACTAAAAATAGAGAGTTAAAGATAGCTAGCATGTGGTCTGGGATTCATTCTGGCGCCAGAGTCCACATTAACCCCACTACTCTATGCTAGGAAAGCCGTTCATTTTTAAATTTTTATTTGGTAAACTTTTTCTTAATGTACTTTTAGTTAATTTCCTTAGATTTCCAAGAAGCCAGTTGTATCATTTGCAAATAATTATTTTTTGTATACGATCCAATAATTCTCATTCTTGCCTTGTTGCTTTGATTTTAACTTTCAGAGACATGTTTATAAAAATAATAGAGTGGACATTCTTCTATTAGTCTAACTAAATGGGAATGAATGCCTCTATTTTTTAAACCATTAAGAAACATTGACTAGTGACTGGAGAGTGTGTGTTTTTTTGTTTTGTTTTGTTTTAATAACTTTATTTTTAAAACAATTTTAGATTTACAGGGACTGGAGAGTATTTTATGTTAAGCATGTGTTTTCTAACTTTTGAATTTACTAAATGGTTTTTGATATGTTTATTCTGGATGGCTTTTAAGCTATATCAAATGTCTTTGTGTATCTGTACAGATGATGGCTTTTCTGTGTTGAACTATTAATGTGATAAATTGTATTAATATATAGCCTAATATTGAATCATCTTTGCATTCCTAGAGTTTTTAACGTAGAGTTGAATTTTATTTGGTAAAATTTCTGTAAGATTTTTGCATACAAGTGAGATTGGTCTGCAGTTCTCTACCATTGTTGTTAGGTTTTAACATTGGGTGAATTCTAGCTGTGTAAAGGGAATCTGGGTGATTTCTGTCTTTTCATGTATTATATGCTGCACTTTAAAAATACTTTTTTGTACATTTTTCTGGTATGGCTGCCTAATACTGTTCATTAAATATCTCTTGGTTTTTTTCATTAAAGATCTCAAGTGTTTCTTCTCTTTTTACTACTTATGGAAATCATGAAACATGAGAAAAATAGAGAAATTGGTATCACTTTGTTCCTCTCTCAACTCACTTTGTTTTCCTTTACAGTATTTTGAGTCTTGCTACTTAAAGCATGGTCTGAGGTTTAGCATCATGGGTATTGCCTTGGACCTTACTACAGGTGAATGGATGTGATCACGTACACATAACCACATGCATCAAACCACCTTTGCCATATTCTATTGGTTATAGACAAATCACAGGTCCTGCCCCCACCATTGCTTTAGATTTTAAACTATCACGAATAATGTTTTTCTGAGATGTTTGAGTAAGTCTTAGAACTTTTAATAATTTGTCTTGGGTTCTGGTAGGGAGCTACAAAGTCAAAACGTATAAACTTTTTGAAGGCTTTGATGACTATTGTTTAATTGCTTTTTAGAAAACCAGTCCCTCTTTTGGTTACATGGTAAACAAAAAGCAACATTGACAGTTCATAAATGTGCTTTTTCTGCCAATAATAGATCATTAAATAATGAGGAAGCAGGAAAGAGGACAAAAGTAATTAGAAATTCTTATCATAAACAACTTGAGCTACCTGGAAGCCTGAAAGTTATTTGAATTAATTTTTGACAGTGTAAAATATCATTTGCAAATAATTATTTTTTCCAATAATTTTTGTTCTTGCCTTATTGCTAATTCAGTGTGTATTTGTCGAGAAATGTTTGGGTATGTAACGTGTTAGATATTGTGAGTGAAAGAAAAGAAATATGCCAATGCCTGTGCCTTCATGGGGCTTGTGGAAATCTTAGTACTTTGTGTACACTTTTTTCATCATGCTACAAAATATACCTTCAATTTATAGAAGTTCATGCTGGATTTCATCTTACCTGGGTTCTCTATGGGTTAAAGAAATTTGAAAGTCTTCCTAGGTGTGACTTCTACCAGGATAACAAAGTTGGCTTTTCCTTTGTTTTAGCAACAGCGTACTGTGTACAGACTGACTCTAGTGAAAGCATGGAACGTGGATGAACTCCAAGCCTACGCTGAGCTGGTGTCCCTAGGAAGTCCTGACTTCATTGAAGTGAAGGTAGGCCCCAGCTGGCCACTGCTGTGCACAGTTCCTATGATGCTTTGTTGACCATGGTGAAGTTAAAAATCTTTAAAGCTCTACAGGAGGTCCCAGATGTTTTATTCATTCAGAAATATTAACGAAGCACCTGGCATTTTTCTAGGCATTGGGGGTAATAGCAGTAAAGACTAAGCATTTGTTCTCACAAAGCTTGTATTTTAGTGAGAGGTAGACAGTCGACACAAAATGAATAATGAAAAACTATATTCAGTTGACTCTTGAATAATGCGGGGTTAGGGGCACCAACCCCCTGTGCAGTTGAAAATCTGTGTGTAACTTTTGACTTCCCAAAAGCTTAACTACTAATAGCCTACTGTTGACCAGAAGTCTTACTGATAACACAAACTGTTGATTAACACATATTTTCTATGTTTTGTTAAATAATGTATTCTTATATTATGTACTGTATTTTTAAAATAAAGCAAGCTAGGGAAAAGAAAACGTTATTAAGAATGTCATAAGGAAAAAAAAAAAAGAACATCATAAGGAAGGGCCGGCCGAGTGGCTCATTGGCTAAGAGTTGGCTTGGGAGTACCAGCTCTGAGCACAGGGCCGCCGGTTCAGATCCCACATGAGGGCCAGTGACACTGCGCCCTCTACAGCTAAGATGGTGAACAACAGCTCGACCTGGAGCTGGGCTGTGGTGAGTCGCTGGCAACAGCGTAGGCTGCAATGGGGCTGCAGTGGGCTGCCGTAAGCTACCGCAAGTGGCCGGCAGCCAGTGTGAGTGGCCAGCAGCTGGCATGAGCTGCCGTGAGCGTCTGTCCAATGTCTGGCGAGCAACTGCCTCACCCGAAAAGTGCAGTGATCACAATACCAACATAGGCCAGTGAAGTGATGTCCTCAACAACTAGACTGAAGAACCAAAGGACAGCAACTTGTCTGTTCCCCTTCCCTGATTCCCCAGCACTGTTCCCCTACCCCAATTTCCCAATAAAAATCTTTTAAAAAAAAGAAAAGAATATCATAAGGAAGAGAAAATACATTTCAGTATTTATTGGTAAAAAATCCACCTATAAGTGGACCCGTGCAGTTTAAACCCGTGTTGTTTGAGGATTAACTGTAGTAACATTAATATACTGAGAAATAAAATAGTGTTTAGTGAGTAATTGATTGGCTTTTAAATAAATTTTTATTATGGAAAACTTTAAACATATACTGAAGTAGAGAGACTGGTCTAATGAACCCCATTCATTCATCACCCAGTTTCAAAAATTATCAACTCATGTTTTATCTATACCCCTATCCATTTCTCTGCTGTTACTCTATTATTTTGAAGCAAATCCCCACACTATATCCTTTTTCCATAACTGTTTCAAGATACATCTCTAAAAGATATGCACTAATTTTAAACACTTATTCAGAATACCATTTTTATAATTTAACAACTTTAACAATAATTTTTAAGTACTGAAACATAAAAGATTTTAAACTTGACCAATTATTTCAATAGTATTTTTGAATCTGGATCCAAATAAGGTCTATTCATTATAGTGCAATTATTTTTCTCTTAAATTTTTTTAATCTATTAGTTCCTCTTCTATATGTATTTCCCCCTTATAATTTATTTTGTTGCAGAAAATGGCTAGTTCCCCATATTTTTATTTTAAATTTTGCTGATTGCATTTTCCTCTACCTCATATATTTCCTATGGATTGGGAGTTGAAGACCAAGAGATTGATCAGGTGTGTGTGTGTGTGTGTGTGTGTGCATTTCAAGATTATTTCATTGGTGGTATTCTATAATTCCAGCAAGAGGCATGCAATGTCTAGTTATCTGTGTCATTTTTGCCAGTGTTTCTTTGGGGTGGATTCCTATAAGTGGATTGATGAATCTAAGGGTACCGTATTTTGCCACATATAATGCACACTTTTTTGCCCAAATTTGTGAGGGAAAAATAAGGATGTGCATTATATGTAGATAGTACTAATTCTTTATCTATATAAATGTTTTTAATTTTTAAATTTATGTTTATGAGTTAAAAGTGTAACTCTAGGAATCAGTAACGATATTCGTATGCAAAATAATAGCCTGGAATACAACAATCGGTTTTCTTGAACTTATGACAAACTTGCAACGACGAAGAGTTCTTGGCCTTCTATGATGTGTAAATATTGTACATTTGTCACCAGTTCATAAAATTTCTTGTATCGTATATCTGTTCTTGTGTTTTGTAATTATTGGTTACATAAAATTTCTTGTACCATAATAGGTTACAAAATAAGTGCTAAAATCCCCTTAGTACAAAAGGCAAGTAAGTACCTAAATGCAAACAAATAAAAATTTGAATTAAAAAATTAAAACAAAAGATGTTTTTCCCTGAAAGTTTGGGCCAAAACATGGGTGCCCATTATACACAGGGGCACATTATACTTGGCAAAATATGGTAAATGCATGTATTGTTTTGCTTGATATTGTGGTTGGCTGTTCTAAATTTCTTAAGCAGGAAGGCTTTTCTGAGGAAATGACTTTTTCAAAACTGACACCTAAATACTAAGAAGCAAGAATCAACACCACATGCAAAGGCTCGGGATCAGGGCATCCTGGCAATTGGCACAGCTAGTATACAGAGGTCCTGTGTAATCTGTGTGGGGAGGTTGGAGTTGGCAGTGACATGAGATAAATCGCAGAGGTGGGCTGGGGCCAGATTTTGTTAGGCTTTTGAAGCAAGGATAAGAGAATTGGATTTAATACTAAGTTTCTTGGTAAGCTTTTCTCTACTATACTAGATGTATTATGAAAGGGCGTTAAGCTGGAGAGTGACGTGATCTGATTTATGATTTTAAAAGATCACTTGCTGCTGTTGAATGGATTATAGAGGGTAGTAGTAGAAGTAGGTAGACCAGTTACAAAGCTGTGGCCTACTCCAAGCAAGAGAGGTGATAGTTTGGGAGAAGTCATTGGTAATATAGTTGGAGAAGAGTGACTGCATTTGGGATAAATTTTGGAAGTAGAACCAACAGAACTTGTTGCTAGATGACATGTAGGGAGTGAAAGAACAAAAGGAATAGAGAATAGCACTGGTTTTTGGCTTGAACAGTTGTGTGGATGTGGAACAGTTACTGAGATGGAAAGACGAGTGTAGGAGGGAGGTTAAGTTTGGGGAGTAATTTCATGAGTTCTATGTTGGCCTTATTAAATTTAAGGTATTTTTTTTAAATATCCAAGTATAGGTTCAGATAGGTCATAGGTTATATAAGCCTGGAGGTCAGGGATACGGCAAGGCTGGCAATAGTACAATAATTTGGAAGTCATCTGTGTGAGATGAAAGGTAAAGCTATGGAGTGTTAAGAAGCAAATGGCTTTCTTAAACAACTAAGAATCCACAAAATGAGAGAAAATGACTGGAAAATTCACCCAACCTCTGAAAACTCTACTCTTCAGTTTCTGTTTATGAAGCTGAATGCACTCTCTGTCATTAGAGGATGTTTCAGAGTTTTACAGCTGTCTTTTAGTAAGTTTGGCTTTCTGAATTACTCTGGAGGGGTTGGAGGTGGGAACAGATGAAATACTGCTGTCTGAGTGTGTGGCATTTTATCTTGAGCCAGGTGAAAGACACTCTTTTCTTTGAAATTGCTCTTAATAACACTAATGATGCAAAGATGCAAACTACATCTGAAATATATGTGTTGACTTAAGAAAACCTTGCCAACATCAGGGATTAGTGGTGTTTTAATTTATGATTTAGCTCTTAAAGAATCCTGCCTGAAATTATGTTGTAGTAAAACCTTATAAAGCAACTTGGTTGGATCACATGGTCACCGTTTGCATTTTTCTTTTATTTCCTTTTTTCTTTTCTTTTCTTTTCTCTTCTTTTCCTTCACATCCCTTCTCCCTTCCTCCCTCCTGCTTCCCTTCCTCCCTCTTTTCCTTTCTTCTTTCCCTCCTTTGCAATCATGTTTTCTTTAATGAATGAGATAGTTTATAATCTGAAAAGAATCAACCAATATATTTTTTAAAAGAAAGATGGCTACTGTGTAAACAGTGTAATTCTCTGACGGGTATTTTTTAATTGGGCAAACTAGTAGCGTAACTAGGAAATGGATAAAGCCTCTGTCCATATCTGAGATGAAATAATGACCTAGTTTCTCTCAAACAATATTTCCATTTTACTATTCTATCCCTCCATTCAACAGATATTTTTGAACTCTCTCCATGTGGTGCGTCTTGTCAAGCACGGAGATACAAAGTTTGATATGGATATGCTATTTGGCAAATTGATGTCTTATTGAACAAAGCAAAGTCTACAAAAGTAATAGAGCTACATTGAGGATTTTATTTTAAAATTCTTGGAGAAATATGTAATCTAATCATAATATAAATGTCTTATTTAAATGATAAAATATGATGTAGTAGATAACAGCTTGTGTTGTTTTGGGACCAAGCATGGTAATGTCAGCTTGTCTCTTACAGAAGACGTGCAGTATCACCGTAGGAAGGACCTGGGCCACTGGGGATTGGGTCCTGTGCTGGGTAAAATTCAGCTCTCCTTTGTCTAACAAGTTAATGAAGTATCTTCCTTTTATTTTTTTATTTTTTAAAGATTTTATTGGGGAATTGGGGGAGGGGAACAGTGTTGGGGACTCGGGGAAGGGGAACAGACAAGTTGCTGT